AGACCCCAATTACAAGACTAGGTAAATAAAATACAACCTAAAACAAAAAAAAAAAAAAAAAAAAGAATACAAATGTCATTTCTGACATTTTTCAGTACTTTAGTTTAGAAAAAAAAAAAACTTAGTGAAATTAAAAAAAAACTGTCATACCATACTTAACCCGTGCAATATCACCAACAACCAATTCAGTAACAACAGTATCGAGAGCTTCACCATTTCGTATTACAGAAAATTTGTGTTCTGTTTCTATTTTTGCTTGTAATCCTAAAATCCAATCCTTCTCATTTTTTTTTTTTCAGGAACAAATAGATATTTTTTATTCTAATTAATTAATTATTTATATTATAAACAACTGAATCGATAATACTAAAATGATCGTTCAGTGATTTGAAAAAAAAAAAAAACCTACGAAATTGTTTTTCCTTGCTCCAATCATTTAAAGCTGTAACCAAAACTACAACAATAACAGCAAGCAATATAGCTGCTCCTTCAATCCAGCCGGCTTCTCGTTCATTACCGTCATGTCCACCTGATAATAGTGAATTATTGATAGTTTGCTAGTTAATTAAAAAACTAAATTAGCTAAAATTCAACCTAAATATGCTATTCAAGTTGCTGTAGTAAAATATGCAATCTAATTTGGACTGATAAACATAACATTAGCTCATGCGTACATCATTTAGTTTTATAATAAGTAATTGAAAAAAAAAATACCTGCTTCTAAATCTTCTGGTGGTTTATAAAAGGATAAGCCTAAAGATACAAGTGCTGAGACCAACAATATAATAAGCGTTATATCCTAAAATTCACATTATAATTGAAAAGATTTCAATATTTAAAATTTCATTTTTCAAGAACTTTGTGATAAATCCCAATATTTCGATGTGATTAATATTTTAATTAAATAGCTAGATGAAACAATGAATAACCTGCAAAGCTTCCCATGCTAGCCGTAGAAAAGACTTTGAAGGTGCTGGAGGAATTTCATTCCTTCCAAATATCCTTCGCCTTTCTTCTAGTGATGATTTTTCATTGGGTAATCCATTTATTGGATCTGTTTTCAATTTCGCGCATAAACCTTCGATACCGCCAAATTTCTTATTCACCTACCGGAAAATTCTTTTTTTTTTTTGGACAAGAAACGAACAATTCACAATGATTCACAAATTATTTTGTTTAAATTCTCGCTCATTTATTGATCATTGTAACGGAATCGTGTTAATTAATCATTTGCTAATTAAAGAATTAATTTGCTAATTAAAGAAGTAAGGCAAGTTGAATTCGAGAATTATTCGCTAATTAAAGAATTAAGGTAAGCTGAGAATAAGTGGAAGGAAATGGTGAAAATTGAGAATGACAACGGTGAATACGTTTATCCAGGGAAATTAATTCCCATTAAGGTGAGTCATAAATTGAATCATAAAATAGTAACTTCAGCATGCCAAACTTTTAATAAAAAATCTAATGCAACAAAAATTTTTTGCAATAATTTGAAAAATTTTTTTGAAATTTAAACTCATACTTGTGCAAGAGCTTCAGCACCTCGAAGATCCATCAATGCGCGAAGTTCGGATAATGTACATCCGAACTCGCTTGCCGTCATACCTGTTTACAGGTGATTTTCAGAAATTATCGTATTCGTTGAATTATGAATAACACTAGCATTTATCCGTATACAAATAATTTTGCTAAGAAAAACCAAAAGCTTTGTGTATCCTTTTGAATTTTTCTAGTTTTTTGAATTGAATCTGAAATTTTATAAATTTTAAAAAACAAGCAAGCAATACTAAAGCGGTATTAGCTCATTGATTTCGTTGACATATGTTATTTGAAATTAAAAATAAAAATATCAATTAATAATTTTTTAAGGCATAAACAAAAAAAAAAAGAGATGAAATTTCATCATTCCAACAATAATTTTTGGCTCAATTCATGGAATAAAGTATTGATATGATAATTTGCAAAGATGCATTATTTTACCTCTGCTACAGTTCTGATTACATTTAATCATTGCCTTCAGTGCTGATTCATCTTTTAGACATTTTCATTTTCACTTTTATTTCTTAGACATCACACTTCAACATATATATAACAGAAACCAATTCTCTTTCACTTCTTATTCTTTAGCAATTTCGATTATTATTTCAATGCAAAAAAAAAAAAAAAAAAANAAAAAANATATATATATATATATATATATATATATATATATATATATATATATATATATATATATATATATATATATATATATAATAATAATAATA